CTTTGTGTGCTACAAGGAGGGATCATGGCAACTCGAACTGCTGCACATCTGTAATAAGTTCTGTGTTGAAACCAGTCAGTCAGTCTAACTGGTAACAAATGGAGATCGGTTAAAGCGCTGTTCAGTAGAATGAAGGAGTTACGTTCAGCAAAATAAGATTGATAAAGAATTCATAATTGCTGAAAAGAATCAAATAGAGAACAGAGATTTCCAAAAAGGTTCATAGTCTAAGCTCGACTACACCCAGAATAAATTTTTCTATGTACCAATCAAAGCAAATTTTCCATGAGTGCAAAAGGAAAAAGCATACACAAGAACAGACAAAAGGAACCAAAGGTGCATTTTAATAAAAAGGTATATTTTTCGCCTCATCTTTAATGAACTGTAATTGCATTAACCTTACTTTACAAATCGACATTATTTTTAAGAAAACACTAATATTGTTATTGACTACTAATCTAGAATATTGTATGCATATAAACATATACGTAACTGTAGAGCCAGAAGAGGAATTTATCGAAAATGATATTCTTTGAGCAATCATTTTGTGTTTTATAGATATTTGAATGAATATTTTTGTTATATTTTCAAGATGACAGTTAAGACTTCCACTTACATAATTCTATACTTTTCTTCGTTTCTATGTACTTCCTAATCAAAACCCACTCATTGAATTAATCGTCTTACTACGCAGCTATAATGGACTTATTCGACTTCTCTTATGTATTGACCAACATTAACAACTCATCACCACAATCCTAATAACTAATCTTCACACACCTTGTTACAATTTGATTACTATTCATCACATTTTTGAAATATTTTGATGACGCAAATAACAAACCAAATTAATTTTTATTCGTGCCTGACAAGGCTAATGTACACACACATACAAAACAGAATAATTATATGTAATTGTGATTATATAGCTCAGTGGATGGATTTACCGCCGAAAAGAAACCTTTCTCTGAACTACGTGTTTTGTTTTCATTAATGTCTGGATGGGAATTATTCATGAAATTATTAACTATCTGGTGTTAATATCATCTGTTCCGCAACCGTTTCCTTTGAGCTCAAATAATTTTTTCAAATATGTTGTATGTTACTCCACTTACTTTAACTTGTCATTTTTAGAGTGTTAGGAACTGATAACAAGTAGTGTAATTAAAAATACAGACTCATTTTATCCTGTTAATATATTCGTTCTCGTTTTAATCAAACAAATAAGGGGGAACTGAGTGTATGAGATGTAAACGAGCTCAAGTAAACTGAATCGACCACTTCCCATTTCTCGTTTCTGCATAAACCAGACTCCATAACCAATGATATTCCTGCATGTGGTAGACTGGATCATGAAAGAGATTGTGAGGGGTGAAAAGACAGGAATATGTTGAACCAACAAGGTTAACGAAGATATGGATTTGCTTGAGATTTCTGTCTAATGTCACGCAAACTCCAAGAACTACAGGTCAAAACCAGCAAGCTGATAAGAAAAGTAGTAAAGGTAGAATTTCAAATGAACACAAGTGATCACGATATCTAACCAGCAACAACTAGCATCAATCATCATCAATGAAAGAAAACTGAACGAGGTTATCATGTTGACATATCTACGCACCATCGCTTTAACTGCAGATGGCACGGATGATGTCAAAGACAACCAGCATCGAAAAGGCAAGAAAAACCTTCATTATTCTGAAACCAGTGTACAAATCTGCTGCACTCAGCATGAAAAACAAGATTCCGATTGCCAACACTAATGTCAAGTCAGTCAGTGTTTCTGTACGGTTCGGAGATTTGGCGTATCATCAAAAGCATTTCGAACAGGCTATACACTTCCCTTAGTAGATTCCCACTTCGCTCCATACAGCAAATCAGAAAAAAATTAGCTGTTTTGCATCAAAGGCTGTGTAGAACGTGTGAGGAGTTGGTTCGCCAACAGCAGGCTGGGTTTTGTTCACGCCGTCGATGCATTGATCATGTGTTCAACCCCCGTCAGTCGCTAGAACACCGTCAAACATGTTCGAGGCCGACAATCGTTGTGTTTCTTGATATTAGGACTGCCTTTGGTTCATTGGACAGAACTGTTATCTTGAGTTGTCTGTTAGATGCAGAGAGGGTGCACCTAAGAAGTTTGTTAACATCCTGAAAGCCCTATGCAGAAATACCTAAGATAAAGTGCAGACATACTACAAGCTATCACCACTGTTCTCAACCAACAATGGAGTTAGAGAATTTGAACAAAGCAAGAACTACAGTTTTAGCAGAATAAAATGGTACCATCTTTTATTTCGTTGCCTTCTCGTCAGCCGCTTACATGGCAAAGACATTATTAAATATATCTACAACAACAATTTTAACATACTTGCAGAGAGTTAGAGAAGGTTGTCCAATCTCTCCATTGAAGACATTCTGGAGGCAGTTCAGGAAGATGTGCGTGATGGTAGTGTAAATCTGCTCCTTGGAGAAAGCCTTTTAGACCTCAATTTTGCAGACGATATCGTCTTATTGTGCGATAACATAAAGTCGGTCCAAATTGCACTTAGCCAATTGGCGACCAGTGTCTGCATGGTATACTACTAATCACCGTCTAGGGACAAAGTACTGTTGATGGATTGGCAGGAGCCTGTACCTCTTCTCACCTTTAAAAGTAAATCGCTTGAAGTTGTCGATAATTCTGTGTATCTGGGTAATTAAATGGGTGTTGACGAAAGTGTGACGGATGAGATCTCTAACCGTATCATGAAGGTTAGGGTGGCATACGCCGATGGGCTGCCTGAAGCATTGTCGCAACATCAGCCTGGCTGTCAAAGGTCAAGCTGTTTCAGTGTGCGCAGTCATGCTTTACACTTGTGAACTCTGCCCTCTCCAAACTGAGGATGTGAGGTGACTCTGCGTATTGGATCATCACTGTCTCCGCAGAATCCCTTGCGTTCAATCGCACTATCACGCGAGCAATTCTTAGGTCAGGGGGCATATGTTCTGACGCGGTGGAGGTCATTGGTCATTATGTGTAGTCATCTTGAAACACCAGTCTCGGTGGCTTGGAAAATTGTTGCAAATGTCATTCCAGTGGCTTCCGTACCTGTTTCTGCTCGCTAGCCCAGATACTGTACGGAAAAAGCAGAGAGGTAGTCAGCCTATAACGTGGCGTCGTGGAATAAGGATATTTGTGTAACATTAGCATCAGTTGGTGCATCACAACATTTTGGTTGGAATCGGTGGCTTGAAACATTACCTGAAAAATTACCAAGAATCGCAACGAATGGTGAACACGCTGCAACTTCCTTCTTTCTTCCTTGTCTGAAAAAAATGCTATGAAGTAATGAATATTCAATGACTTTGACAAGTATGCATTCTCGCTTTCTGGATGACATTCGTCATTCATTCTCTCCTTATTTTCTTTATTTATTGTCATTTTATTATTGCTGTGTTGCACATCTCATGATGCCCATATAGTACCAAGTTTGTGTTTTAAATAATAGTTAAAAACCATAGGTAAGCTGGAGATTGATACTTAGATAATGGAATTTGTTATTCAGTTAGAAACGTCCAATACAACCATCTTAGAAACCAAGACAATATAACACATACAAATAAAGATTATTCGTACCGAGGTTTTCAATTGAATAACTTGTCTGATTCCTCGGTAGTGAAACAGAATCCGGTCCAGGATGCAATTTACCCCAAGAAATTATATAGTGTGATATATCTGTCCTGATAGGCTTGTATTTTGATGGAATATCCAAATTCCCATTAAAACTACTGTCAACAACACCGGTAGAAGTAGTCTGATGAAGGCTAGATGAACTAGCCACAACATGTGGTGGTAACCAAAATACTAATAAACTTTGTTCATCCGCTAAAGCCTGGAGATTTTCCACCTTCAGTGTGAGACAGAGAACATAAACGATACAAATTAATTGAAAATATTTGTCATAGAGAATAAAGAAGAATCACAGGATATGAACGAAACTTTAAATAACGCTAAAAGTTAAAAATCTTTGTCTAAGTTGTTATAACGGTAGGATATTGAATGATGATGTTTTCACCTTATTCTGTCTGCGCCTGAAACTAATCTGTCTATCTCCTTGTCGTCCCTTCCGACTTGGTAAAGCACGCAAATATCAAAAGACAAAGGCTGGACTGTGACTGTGTATTGAAGTGCAACAACGATAAAGAAAGCCATGGTATTTATACATTTTACAACAATATGGACAGCTAACAGCATTTGAAATAATTTATCTTAATAGCCAATAACAAAGTGCGTGAGAGATAATAATACACCATATGTGCAAGGTTGACAGTCAGTAACAAAATGCGTGGGAATGATTATATACCATATATACAAAATTAGCAGTCACTACCAAAATGCGTGAGAATGATGATATACAAAATTAGCAGTCACTACCAAAATGCGTGAGAATGATAATATACAAAATTAGCAGTCAATACCAAAATATGTGGGATCCTATCACCTCCCCCCGTAAAGAGCGTAGGACTTGCTTTTTGGATCTATTTGAAAAGGTTTCGGAGCTCTTCTTTGTCGAGTTGACCTTCGCGTGGTACTGGATAGAGTGTGATCTGTGTCCCGGGCTTCCGGCTGCGGAAGATTAAATGTATCTACTAATACTTCTAACGTGAGGTCTCGCCTCCCATTGTCAAGTCTATCTGACGCATCTCGTATATGATTCGTGTGTCTGACACATAACTGTCCTTCTACATTCACTTTGTATAAAACCCTTCCTTTCTGCCCCACTATTTGTCCTCGAATCCATCTCGGAGGTGAATAGCGAAAATCTCGTACATAAACTTGCTGATACAATTTGAAAACTCGACGTTTAGCTCCGTGATGGCGATTGAATTGGTTTTCCATTTTTGTATTTCTGCAGCCCTGCTTTACTTGCCTAGGCTTAATTGAGTCGAGGGCAGTTCTGATCTTTCGGCCAAATATAATTTCCGCTGGGGATAACTGATTTGGGGCGGAAGGATTTGGCGTCGTACGATAATGCAGCAAGAATCTATCCAAAATTTCTTCTGTTGTTCCCTCCCCCTTCGCTTTTGCATAAGCACGCTTAAAGGTGTCGACGAAACGTTCAGTCTGTCCATTCGAGTGGGGATGATACGGGGGGCTACGAATATGCTGGATGCCAAACAGTTTGCAGCAACCAAGTTTGTCCTGAAAGACAGAAGCGTGCTTTTGACGACGGCGTTGCAAGAGAGATTGATCAGATACATCTCCGGGAACAACGTTGTGTGGTGAAGACGAAACATTAGAGCATACTGAATTTAATGGTACATTAAAGATATGGAGCTTGTCTAACCAGTCAAGACCAAGCAAATCCAAATCATGGTAGTTTGTAACGTAACATACACCATTGAAGTGATGCTCACCAAACTGAACCTGGCAATTGATCTCACCCACGAGTTTCAGTTTATCTCCAGAGACATTCTTGGCGAAATGCTCGGTCGGCAGAATCTGTGGGCAACCAAGTTTGCGCCACGTAGTTCGGGAAATTACGGTGATATCTGATGCCGTATCCAACTGAAGACGAATACGTTTGCCGTTAATATCTAGTGTTATGTACTTACGTTTGCTGGCGAAATCGACTTTGGAAGTTGTGAAAACGGTCTGTACTCGAGGAGATTGTTTCGGCTTGAAACGACTACTTCTGTTCCTCACCGAAGAATTTTTCTGCGGGGTACAGTAACCCTCCTTATGTCCAAAACGGTGACAATTACGGCATTTATGTTTCTTGAAAGGACAGAACTTGACAAAATGCCACGAACCACAGTGCCAGCACGCTGAAAGAGGTTTGGCTGAATTCTGAGACTGACGTGCTGTGTGCTTAACGGTGATCGGAGGACTTTTCACTGTGTTAATCGAACCAAAATCAGACGACTGTCGTTTGCACTCCACCATGGCAGTATCGTGCTTCAAGTTGATCAAACGTAGGCATTCTGCTGTCACCATTTGTAAAGTCATTTTCGGGTCTTGTTCCACAAGTGACAGAAGTCGAGTTCGTATGTCAGTATCTTCTGGGTTCTTCAACCCACAAATAAAAATCAAACACTTGAACTGATCTGATGTCATTTCGTGTGGTTTGAACCTTTCACATTCCTTGTTCACTTTGCCAGCGTAAGTCACATAATCATCGGAAGGAATTTTTGTCAACTGAAAACATTGATACCGAATATTAAACATGGATGACTGTTCACCAAAGATTTGTGATAAAACGGTGACTGTCTCATCGAATGATAACTCACGTGGGTTCTTGGGCAGAATGAAATTAACATATCTGTTGTGCTCAACAGTACCAAGTTTTCTTAGTAACAATCGGACTTTGGCAGCATCATCAAACATGTGGCATTCAATACGGAAAACATCTTCGTAACGATTGAACCATGCATCAAATACGAGACCAGATATTGGGTCGTAGTTGAACTCACTGATAGAATTTGAGATGCTTTCATATTTGTCAGAATGAGATGTTGATGGAACTTGAATGGACAGCTTCTGAGTGAGAGCTTCGATTAATTTTAGTTGAGCTGCTTCATTCTGAACTTGCTGCTGCTGCAAGATAGATTTGAGATCGTCCAGAGAGATAGACATTGTAATTGGGTTGTAATTAACACAGTCAAAAATGTTATATAGTTGCGCTGAACAGACTAAAAACTGTCGTCGTTTGCTTGCTATAACTGCGATGAATTAAGTAAATCCACGTCGCCAATTGTTATATCTTGCTCTGTCTGCGCCTGAACTTATATGTTATATAGTTGCGCTGAACAGAATAAAAACTGTCGTCGTTGCGTGCTATAACTGCGATGAATTAAAGTAAATCCACGTCGCCAATTGTTAAATCTTGCTCTGAATTAAAGTAAAACCCCGTCGCCAATTGTTATAACGGTAGGGAATTCAATGATGACGTTTTCACCTTATTCTGTCTGCGCCTGAACTAATCTGTCTATCTCCTTGTCGTCCCTTCCGACTTGGTAAAGCACGCAAATATCAAAAGACAAAGGCTGGACTGTGACTGTGTATTGAAGTGCAACAACGATAAAGAAAGCCATGGTATTTATACATTTTACAACAATATGGACAGCTAACAGCATTTGAAATAATTTATCTTAATAGCCAATAACAAAGTGCGTGAGAGATAATAATACACCATATGTGCAAGGTTGACAGTCAGTAACAAAATGCGTGGGAATGATTATATACCATATATACAAAATTAGCAGTCACTACCAAAATGCGTGAGAATGATGATATACAAAATTAGCAGTCACTACCAAAATGCGTGAGAATGATAATATACAAAATTAGCAGTCAATACCAAAATATGTGGGATCCTATCACCTCCCCCCGTAAAGAGCGTAGGACTTGCTTTTTGGATCTATTTGAAAAGGTTTCGGAGCTCTTCTTTGTCGAGTTGACCTTCGCGTGGTACTGGATAGAGTGTGATCTGTGTCCCGGGCTTCCGGCTGCGGAAGATTAAATGTATCTACTAATACTTCTAACGTGAGGTCTCGCCTCCCATTGTCAAGTCTATCTGACGCATCTCGTATATGATTCGTGTGTCTGACACATAACTGTCCTTCTACATTCACTTTGTATAAAACCCTTCCTTTCTGCCCCACTATTTGTCCTCGAATCCATCTCGGAGGTGAATAGCGAAAATCTCGTACATAAACTTGCTGATACAATTTGAAAACTCGACGTTTAGCTCCGTGATGGCGATTGAATTGGTTTTCCATTTTTGTATTTCTGCAGCCCTGCTTTACTTGCCTAGGCTTAATTGAGTCGAGGGCAGTTCTGATCTTTCGGCCAAATATAATTTCCGCTGGGGATAACTGATTTGGGGCGGAAGGATTTGGCGTCGTACGATAATGCAGCAAGAATCTATCCAAAATTTCTTCTGTTGTTCCCTCCCCCTTCGCTTTTGCATAAGCACGCTTAAAGGTGTCGACGAAACGTTCAGTCTGTCCATTCGAGTGGGGATGATACGGGGGGCTACGAATATGCTGGATGCCAAACAGTTTGCAGCAACCAAGTTTGTCCTGAAAGACAGAAGCGTGCTTTTGACGACGGCGTTGCAAGAGAGATTGATCAGATACATCTCCGGGAACAACGTTGTGTGGTGAAGACGAAACATTAGAGCATACTGAATTTAATGGTACATTAAAGATATGGAGCTTGTCTAACCAGTCAAGACCAAGCAAATCCAAATCATGGTAGTTTGTAACGTAACATACACCATTGAAGTGATGCTCACCAAACTGAACCTGGCAATTGATCTCACCCACGAGTTTCAGTTTATCTCCAGAGACATTCTTGGCGAAATGCTCGGTCGGCAGAATCTGTGGGCAACCAAGTTTGCGCCACGTAGTTCGGGAAATTACGGTGATATCTGATGCCGTATCCAACTGAAGACGAATACGTTTGCCGTTAATATCTAGTGTTATGTACTTACGTTTGCTGGCGAAATCGACTTTGGAAGTTGTGAAAACGGTCTGTACTCGAGGAGATTGTTTCGGCTTGAAACGACTACTTCTGTTCCTCACCGAAGAATTTTTCTGCGGGGTACAGTAACCCTCCTTATGTCCAAAACGGTGACAATTACGGCATTTATGTTTCTTGAAAGGACAGAACTTGACAAAATGCCACGAACCACAGTGCCAGCACGCTGAAAGAGGTTTGGCTGAATTCTGAGACTGACGTGCTGTGTGCTTAACGGTGATCGGAGGACTTTTCACTGTGTTAATCGAACCAAAATCAGACGACTGTCGTTTGCACTCCACCATGGCAGTATCGTGCTTCAAGTTGATCAAACGTAGGCATTCTGCTGTCACCATTTGTAAAGTCATTTTCGGGTCTTGTTCCACAAGTGACAGAAGTCGAGTTCGTATGTCAGTATCTTCTGGGTTCTTCAACCCACAAATAAAAATCAAACACTTGAACTGATCTGATGTCATTTCGTGTGGTTTGAACCTTTCACATTCCTTGTTCACTTTGCCAGCGTAAGTCACATAATCATCGGAAGGAATTTTTGTCAACTGAAAACATTGATACCGAATATTAAACATGGATGACTGTTCACCAAAGATTTGTGATAAAACGGTGACTGTCTCATCGAATGATAACTCACGTGGGTTCTTGGGCAGAATGAAATTAACATATCTGTTGTGCTCAACAGTACCAAGTTTTCTTAGTAACAATCGGACTTTGGCAGCATCATCAAACATGTGGCATTCAATACGGAAAACATCTTCGTAACGATTGAACCATGCATCAAATACGAGACCAGATATTGGGTCGTAGTTGAACTCACTGATAGAATTTGAGATGCTTTCATATTTGTCAGAATGAGATGTTGATGGAACTTGAATGGACAGCTTCTGAGTGAGAGCTTCGATTAATTTTAGTTGAGCTGCTTCATTCTGAACTTGCTGCTGCTGCAAGATAGATTTGAGATCGTCCAGAGAGATAGACATTGTAATTGGGTTGTAATTAACACAGTCAAAAATGTTATATAGTTGCGCTGAACAGACTAAAAACTGTCGTCGTTTGCTTGCTATAACTGCGATGAATTAAGTAAATCCACGTCGCCAATTGTTATATCTTGCTCTGTCTGCGCCTGAACTTATATGTTATATAGTTGCGCTGAACAGAATAAAAACTGTCGTCGTTGCGTGCTATAACTGCGATGAATTAAAGTAAATCCACGTCGCCAATTGTTAAATCTTGCTCTGAATTAAAGTAAAACCCCGTCGCCAATTGTTATAACGGTAGGGAATTCAATGATGACGTTTTCACCTTATTCTGTCTGCGCCTGAAACTAATCTGTCTATCTCCTTGTCGTCCCTTCCGACTTGGTAAAGCACGCAAATATCAAAAGACAAAGGCTGGACTGTGACTGTGTATTGAAGTGCAACAACGATAAAGAAAGCCATGGTATTTATACATTTTACAACAATATGGACAGCTAACAGCATTTGAAATAATTTATCTTAATAGCCAATAACAAAGTGCGTGAGAGATAATAATACACCATATGTGCAAGGTTGACAGTCAGTAACAAAATGCGTGGGAATGATTATATACCATATATACAAAATTAGCAGTCACTACCAAAATGCGTGAGAATGATGATATACAAAATTAGCAGTCACTACCAAAATGCGTGAGAATGATAATATACAAAATTAGCAGTCAATACCAAAATATGTGGGATCCTATCAAAGTTACTTCACATTCCTCATTGATTGAATTTTAATTCGACCGAAGTAAGTCGGTCTCTGTTGACATCCCAGACACCTATAAAGATGTTTAGGAGATTTCCGTAATTTAACATAATGTTATTTAATTCATATTGGTTAGCAATAGAATCCCGGATGAGAATTTCGTACTATTTGGCAGTTTTCAATTGGATTGTACATACAACTATACATGTGTGAGTGATGGTGTTCCCACTAAAGACTTGGACCTGGCATCACTTGTTTCAAATGTCACAGTGTTATTCACTATACCAATAGGAACACTCATTCACTAACCACTGAGGACGTACATATACCCAGGAGTGCCGGACAGAATGAAACACGCGTCCTGGATTCCACCAGTCTCATATTGCTCCTTTCCTTATAATTGTGATAGTTAATATTTTATTCCTTTGTATTTAGACTGATACATAGGTCCTCAAGCTTGGACTTTGAAGTTTCAGAAGCAGTGGTCTTCTTTTAAGGGATGAGGTTTCTAACTTCCCACCCACAAACTTCCCTTCTTACAGCACTTACTGCCGGTTAGGTGAAGTTTAGCTTTGCATCAGCCTGAGATAAAATCCAGGACAACATATGGCGTCATATATTCTGCCAATGAACGACCAACGTGGAATCCACTGATAGCCACCATCAACCAAATATCAACAACACTCTATGTGAATTAGGCATTTTAAAATAACTATCAAGTACACGTGGAAATGGAGAGAAGCCGGAATTTAAAGGTGAAATAAACGCTTTTATGTTTAGAATAGGAAGCTTGAATAACTTTTACAGTGAACATCATTTGTTTACAGACCGACTAAACACAACACTCGATTAAAAGATAAGATCTTAAAGCATCAATCCAACACCAAATCCTAACCTCTTCAAAAAGGTAATTAACCAAGTGAAGTTAGATAGTTAGTTACCCAGGCTAGATTTTCATTTATGTACCAGACCATGAGCTGCACACATTTATTGTGTTAGGACTGATGATACTATGCGGTCGAGCGAGGGCTTAAATCGAGAGGTAAACCCGGCTGAAATGCAAGTAAGCGGTTAAGCCAATATGCCACATCTCTACGATAATAACAATAATAGTAATAAATCATTTACAATATGTGAGCCCTAAAGATAGCTGCTAGTTTGACGTAGTGGTCTAATTCACACATCACAGTGACTTAACGACTTTACACTGGCTGGAACTAGTCTTACTATCATACCAGAAAGGTCTTTTTCGCTAGCGGGTAGATGAAAAGAAGTCATAGTGTAAGTCAACTCCAAAATCTATTTCAAACAGTTGTCTCCTGGACTCGACGGTCACACACAACACTAAAGCTATTTCTCTTTACAGTACTCTCCAAGACGAAATCACACACAATGTGTGTAGACTGTTGGAATATAATTATTACCACCACCACCACCACCACTAAAAACAACAACAAACATCAATCACCATCAACGGAATAAATTTGAGCAAGGTTGCCACATTCACTTATCTAAGCAGCACCGTTACAACTACAGATGGCACTGGTGAAGATGTCAGAGCCAGGCAAGATCGGAAAGGCGAGACAAGTCCTCCTTAATCTGAAACCATTCTGGGAGCCTATCGCACTCAGCATTAAAGAACAAGATCTCGATTCTCAACACTAATACCAAGTCAGTTACTGCTTCTATATGGTATATAGACTTGGAGTGCCACCAGATGCACTTCCTACTGACTGCTGCAGACTTTCACCAACAACTACCTTCGCTCGATGCTGATAATCAGATAAGCAGCCAGAAGGAATTAGAAACAAGGAATTCTGGGGACGAACCCACCAAGAATCTACCGCTCAACAAATATGAATAAGTAAATGAAGATCAACCGGACATCACATTTCAGGCAGACAATCTAGTGGAACCCGAATGAAAGCGAGAGACGAATTGGTCAAGGGTTCGAGGTGTAATATGGAAGAGATCGTTAAAGTTAATGGTCAATCATGGAACCAAGTGTAGAGGATTACAGAGAACAGGATGAAATGGAGATGTGCTATCGAAGTCCTGCGTTCCAGTCGAAACCTAAGGAAATAATATAACTCTAAATATCATATCATGCATTCACTGGTTTCGTATAAAATGAAACTAGATGCATATTTCGAAGAACACACTTACAGGTCCTAGTGAAGAAACCAAATTCCTGTTGTCTGACAGAGAAGGTAAATGAGTCATTGGTGCACTAAGGCCTTCAGATATGGCATCCTAAAAAACAAGGCAAATAAGAAAGAATAATCAAAACAGCAAAGAAAATGTTAAAAACAAAATACTTGCATTTCCCATCAACAGACTGAGTCTTGACAGGTTCGATAACACCAGCTAGAGGAAAATTGGAATGCCAGAGAACACAAAACAGCTGTTTCTTTCTAGTGTGGGATTCTTCATCAGTATGCACCGACTGAGGTCCGAACCCAGAATCTTCCAGTTACAAGGTGACTTCACAGACCACTGACTTTTATTGAACTGAAACGAATGTCTCCTAGTGCGGACACCTCGATGAGATCGACAATAATGATCCAAAAACCTCAGTTCACAGGGAAATAAGTATAATAATTTCAACATGTAATAACCGATATACCTGATGCATAAATTATCTCAATGACCTAACGAATACACCATTGGCGTTCGAAAATCAATGGATGTGGGATTTGAGGCTCACAGTAAACACCATCATTACACAAATTGGTAACACAGGTACATCATCCTGATGACGAGTCTCGAGTAGGACGAAACAGGATTCACTGTTAACCGACACCCAAAAGGTATCAATGGTGAAAATACTTCGCATAACAAGACAATTATTTTTATACAGATTAGTAGGATGGCTTTAAATACACTTTAGAAACAGAAATCACTCTTTTGTGTACAATATGTATTCCCGTATCTTTAAGCTCTTATTTTATGAAGTAGTCGTTTCTGAAATTTACTTACCGAGTAATATTTGCATATGGTTTAGATTACATAAGCGATTTAATGCTTCACTACTTTCGTCGATAAATAGCAATTAACTTTATTATGAAATCATCTTAGAATCACTACCTAACTACAAAATATTAACGTGAAACAATAACCCGAACTGGGTTCCAGCCTCTGTGAGAAGACAACCATTCTCTAGGAATACAAGTCCTATATCTAGCAGTCGAGTTGCAAATAGAAAGAAACCCAATTCCTGGATTCCACTGGTAGCCATACATCAATCAATCGATCAAATAAGCAAACCATGAAATATAATCACTCGGGTTAATTTCCAGTAGGTAAGATAAATACTGACTAAAATAAAACTTACACCTGATAAGACTTCTCCATCAACACTATTCTCTCCATCGGAATCAGCTTCATTCTTTTGAGTGAATGTAGTAAATGTGATAACATCAGAGTCTGGACCATTGCCTGCTCGAGTAGCTGCTGAAATAGTTAAATCGTATTTTGTTCCAGAAGTTAAACCTAGAAGAGAAAAGAAAGTATGCGAATACGAAAATGACTGACTGAGTGACTGACAAATCAACGTCAGACGTTTCATAGCAATAACCACAATGTGGGTGTGAAATGGATTAATCAACTGAAGATTCTAGAAGACAAAGATTGTGGTATTATCTTAACGATCTTGAGTCATCAAGAATCTCAAAAACCACTGAAGACAGCAGTCATATAACCCACACCTAACTCTGCGTGACTCATAACAAAATTAAATGACATCATGGACGAATATCCCATTTGTAGTCTGACTATAACTTCCCTGTTTTTCCAACCGAATTATGTTTCAGCTGAAAATGAATGACAAAGAATATCTTAGGCATACTAACTGGTTACGAAACATTAGAAATTGAAAAGAAACCTGTAATCATCAGTGTAATTTCTGGTTTAAACAGCAACGTTACACATAAGTAAATTAGTATATTAATGAGGTATACAAGGTCTTTGATTATACCACAGAGACACCGGAAGCAGTGCCAGGTAGCAAATGAAGAATGCACCTTCCGCATCCTGGATGAGATTTCATCATCAACCAATCCTACACAATAGGACTGATACAAGTCCCCAAGTACATAAGGCGGTCAACATATATCACCAGTTCACTATCTAGCCGTAAATTTAAAAAGGCACAAACCTATCATCTTCAGCGTGACGGAAGTGAAGTGCATGACAAATTAAAATAGAATGCAAGCATCTTCACTTAAAAAGAATTGTATTTCCTGAGTACTCTGAGTCAGCCAGACCCTCCTTCAGCTGCAAGTGAACTCCAAAAAATCAGGATTCAAACGAAGTAACATCCATTACTGCCTATACAATCTAATAAGAATATTGATATAGGGCATTCCTGACAGACATTACTGGTAACCCATCACTTTAGATGACAATTCTCCAAAAGATCTTTATAAACAGAGGCGTGAATTCAAGAATAACACGTTGATTTGCACAGAAAACAATTTCACCTTCAGATATTGCTGCAAATATCGATCAACAGAGTCGCAGGCCACCTTCAGGTTAGAAAATAATATAAATGTCAGAGACCAGTAAATATCATAGTGTTTCGAAACCTCTAAATATGTGTGAATAGACTGAATTCTGACTGTTCCCTTAAAGTTAGTTTTTTCCTACCCTCACCTTATCACCGAAGTACCGTCGAGCCTGAGATCTTAGATGTCATAATATTAGTGAAGCACATTTACTTGTATTTGTCACGGGAAGTCATACCTCCTTCCTCATAAAACTGGAATAATCACCAATATACACCGATGAACTTCTCCTTATACACAGCTTTGGCATACTTGTCAAAAGCTGGATAGATAAATACTCTGCCACCGATTGTTTTCGTCGTCCATTCAAGAGAGGGAAAACACTGGCCCTTAGTGTATAGTCAAAGTTCAAATCAGCGAGAGCAGCAGTCTCCCAACAAGCAGATGGGTGAGTACTGATTTTTCATTTCACCCCCAGCTACAGTCAGTGGTTGCGTAAGCAGCTTTGAAACCAAGTTTAACTTAGTGTATAAAACAAGCAGCGGATGGATGGGTGGCTGCGGATGAA